TTGCTCCACAGCAAGAAGGTCCGAGGTTAGCTTCTGCCTCCAGACAGGGTCTTTCTGAAGAGAATTGGCATGTACTCCCTATGTCTGCATAGATTTCCTCTGGCTACTCCCGTTTAACCTACATTATTTCAGGATGAAATAATTGTTTCATAATGAAATAATGTGTGTTAAGCCGCGTTCAGACCGAATCATACGTTGCGGCGACTTTCAATGCCAACTCAATGGTGACGCGTGTTCGAGCGTGGAACTGCATTTGCATCTCGAGATGCACGCACGGACTGCGCGGTAAAGACACACGGACTGCGCGACAAAGGCGCGGTAGAGGCACAGGAGCGGAAAATCGATGCATGTAGGACATAAATGTTCCTGAGCGTTTCCTCGGGACGCTCGTGAACATATGCGTTTTCATACTCGCCTTTAGCGAATGTGACTGTGAGATGACGGATGCAAATTAGCCCAAGGCTTACTTGCATCCGTCGTGAGGTAAATTCAATGTCTTAGTTATTGTGATTAGATAGAGCTACATAATGTAACATATTACTTCGAAAATACATTTACATTATACTATTTTTGTTATATACCGGTACTATTATATTGTCAACAGGATTCTGCTTCATGAACACTGTTGGTGCAGGTAAAATAAAGCTAACTCTAACTGTTAGTTACTGTTGTAACATCCTCAATCAAACATGAAGACAAAGACGATCCATTAAGATATATTATTACTCATGTAATACTAAGAAGTGTAATGTATTACATTTATAGAAGGTAATTAGAAAACAAATCTCATTTCAAAGTTCCCCAACACAGGTTGTGATGAATGAGATTAAAGCATTCTTTATTGTCGCCTGTGGAAACAAACACATTCCGCACGGAAAGGCAAGCGTTGACAGGGGATTGAACCTGCTAACTTCTTGCTGTGAGGCCAACACAAGGAAAAATGCCTTCCTAACTCTTTGAATCGTTCATTCAACTGGTTCATGGTTCGGCAGCGTCTTTGATAATGTTCAATGCAGTTTATTTTTCTCTTTCTTTAAATTGGCTCTGACAGAGAGAGTTGTCAATTGATCAGAAGTTGTGGGGACATTTTATTAAGCCTTTTTTCATTTGCTACATTTTTATTGGGAGACTTCTAGTTTTAATCTTTTGAAACACTTTGCTCATTGCTCTTCATTCCAGACTGTAAACATCTCTGTGCCATCTTTGACAATTATAACTTGATTGATTGTTACTTTTATGACTGTTTAATGACCCACAGACAAAACAAAATTTACAAGAGCACTATTAAGGCTTCATGCTTCACAGTCCACCATAACTGCACTACTCCTTGTGCATTCTTAAACTACTTTACATGCGCAGTGGAGACAGCAGGGGGCCTAAGGTGCAGTAAATGGCAAATTGTGACTGACGTGATTTGCATACGTTGAAATGCAGATCAGCTAAATGAATTCCCCACAGCGCAAAAGAGCAGAACCTCCAACACCATCGCGTTATGAGGTGTGTTTATCAATTTGGATCATGAAATCTGCTGCTTTTGTCAAACCTACTGGTGCATTATGGAAAAATCTGGTCTTTCATCCGTGCGTCTGCATATGAAGATGTCTAAAACAATGTCTTATCATGTTGACATATAAGATACTTCCTGAGATTTCAAAGATGGTTTGGACAGGCACCAAGCGGGTTCAGTGAGTATGCTGGTAGGAATTCCAACATGCTGCAGCCGGGAAAGCATAATAGGGGTTAAATGTTCTCTCAAGCAATGAAAGCCCATATGTCCAAACTGTAAAGCATTAGTTTCTTATTGTTTATTGTATAAAGATTATATTTTATTGCAGGTTTTTTGCTTCACATGTCGAGTTAAAGTATTCAAAGTTTGAAAACCATGCAGGGTCATTAATTAGAAGGGCTTCATAAATTATCCAAAAATATTATATGCGCAATGAGTAGTGCAGCCCGGACAAGCCTTCAGAAATGCAGGGATAAAAAACACATCTGCAATTGGTTCATAAGGGGCAGATGATGTTGTTCATAAATATGTCCATACATGGAACTAAATGTCCATTAATGTCCTGGATCATAATCACTTTCCTTAGATCCTCCTGCAATAGCTAGGAAGAGCTTAAAAACCCGGAGGGAAAAGGTGAGAAACCTCAGAAGGTCCTTAAGTGTTTGGTCATTCTTTACTCTACCTTCTATTCTAAATAATTACAATTGTCTCTTTTGAGGTAAACATAATTGCCCAATGCAAAAGTTAGCCCTTTTAAACACGATAAGGAAATGTCTGACTCCTGCAGTGTATAAATCCACTGCCATCTACTTGATTATTTCTCTAATCTGAGGTTACAGGGCCTAATATTTCTGCATCTCAGGTGACATAAATCCAGTCATCGTTTCAATTTTTCACAGCATGAGATGATGAAAAACAAACAATCACTCTTTCCTGTGTTTCAGGCGTTCCGTTGTTACGCCTGGCACTGATAAGTGGCAGTATCTCCATTAACAGCCTGGACTCAAAGGAACAATAAATCCAGCAATGTGTGAGCAGACCAGGTCTCTGCACGTGCACAACACTGTTGACAGACACGGCAATTTACATACATGTACAGGACAGGGTGAAGTGAGAGTAGTCATGCTTTAAATAATATTTCAAATATTTGAAGAGTCATAAAGCAATTTCCTCTCCTTAAATGTGGGGTTGCTCATAAACAAACACAAGTCTGACAGAATGAGTCTGAAAGAACCAGTCCTCAGCTATGCAAATAATAATATTCTTTGCATTGTTTTAAAAAAGAGCTTTGTGAATGGTCGGCTGAGGGTTGGTGCTCCTCTCTTTTTCACTTTTCTCTATGAAAACGCTGAACTAAAGATGTGGCAGAGACCAAAAATACATGCATGTAAAAACTAGAACAAAAATGTTCTTTATATACAAGTGTGCTTTAGAGTCAAGCAACTACTGTACAGTTCAAATGTTGATGGTTTTAAAGTTTCGTGAACAAGCTTTAACAAAACAAAAACATAATCTCTGCCTAATTAACATTCATTCAGAGCAGGGCAGGTCAATGTACTTATCATTTTTAACACAAGCAAAGTCAATAATTACTCAAGACGCACATAAACACACATACACTTTGGCCGGCAGATTGCAATGGCCTCCTCAAAAGTAGGTATCTGCAGTGCGCTAACATATGGCATGAGCATGTGTACATCAGGACGGTTAGACGCTAACGCTCCACGAGCATGTGTGCACGCCGTGGTGCCATACTGCAGTCATTTTCCAAAGTATGCATCCAAGGAGATTGATGGCAAAATCCTTCAGGCAGGAAGACTTATGGCTTAGGCGAGTGATTAGGAAGGAGGTGCTAGTGTAAGGCAACAGCTCCTGCCCTGACACCAAGCCACCGCCTACAGCAACTCAGCTTGCCCGCATGCTTTCACAAAGGGTGGGATTTTCATGCAGTCATATCATGTTTGCATGAAAAAATATATAAGGTGGAACAGCTATTTTTTTTTTTCTTCTGCCAAAAAGTGCAATTTCATATCTGTAACTTGAATCTTTGTTTTGAGTTTACAGAGGACAAATTTAATAATTCAAATGTTAAGAAGATAACTTTGAAATGTGTTTCATGACATTTCAAATGGGTGGGCGACAGTAGCTCAGTTGGTAGAGCCTTGGCCTTCAGGCCTGAAGGTCGTGGGTTCAATTCCCACCTCTGCACCTTCTCCACCGACTCCCACTGATGACTGCTGTCGTTGTGTCCTTGGGCAAGACACTTAACCCGACTTTGCCCAAAAGCCCCCGCTGAAAAAGATCAAGGCACTCAGAGAGCAGCTGTCCTCCTGTGGACTCACCACCTGCAGAGGGTCAGTGAGGGGCTGGTGCTATGAGACTTGGGTGGCATCGCTGATTGCCACCCCCCTGACCCAGAAATGGATTAAAGGGTAGAAAATGGATGGATGGACATTTCAAATGTGGTTGTATGATAGCAAACATGCATTACAAAACAAAACATTTTCGTCAAGCATAGTATGGTGGATAGATAGCTACTGTATGGCCTGCGCAGGTGGACAAACGCAAGACAAAATATCTGGCCCTCACAGTCACAAGGTCCCATTGTGTATTCATGTTATGACTCTAATATGTTCTGCTTGTCTCTCGATGCGACACGTATGTCTTTCTGTGTGTGATGTATCTGTGATGGAACAATGACTATATAAACCATGTCCTGACTTTGTTGTGTCTGAAAAAACTGAAACAACTGAAACCTGAAGGAAACTGAATAAACTTCCAGGAACTCTGGTGCGCCACAATCCCGTCTCTGTGTGCTTCATCTTCCACAATGGGGAAAAGCCCAGGCAATGAAGATGATAATAAAATGATTCTACTATTCTGCTAAAAAAAAATTAAATTAAAATTAATTAATTATGTTCTTTAGTCTACTAAAATAATGATGATTGTGTATCTACTATACAGAGTAAGTAGGTCAGTATTTTGTATAGCACATTTCTACAGACAAAGGTCACCCAAAAGCACTTTACAGTGTACAGAGAACAGATATTGTTCCATTCTCTCCACACACAGTGATGACAGAAACAAGACGCCAAACACACTGGTGCATCAAAGCCCCAACAAACACCATAATTACATTCATACCTATTGTGCATGTGTTTAGTGGTATGGGAAACCAGAGGAAACCTACGCAGACACGAGGAGAACATGCAACCCAGGACCTTCTTGCTGAGCAGCGAGAATATCCACTCAGCCCACTTTGTTCAAAATGTGAAGGCATTTTTGATTGAATGAAGGATAAATAACCTGCTGTAGCATCTTATGTGTTTGCGGATGTAATAAATGCATTATTATTATTTTTTTATTAACACGTCCATCGCATGTCAGTAATATACTGTGCATTTCTACTTGAGGATCAGAACCTTTGCCCTTGCTCGAAGCTTGTGACCATACTGTCAGGGTCAGTATCATGCACTGCTGTCTTATCAAGGCTTTAGGCCAAAATCTGTCCCATCCACGCATCTTCCAGTTTCTTCACCACAAGTGTGAAGCAAAGAGCCCCGCCCTGCTTTATCCCACCATCAATGAGACACACACTCACGCTGAGCTGCAGTGTGCACGGACTGGCACTTACAGTGTGAGATGACATAAGTGTGACACCAGAGCTTTGCCCAGGGAATATGTGGCTGTCAACAATTAGCACATGCATTTAGCACAGATAATGTGACAGCATGACAGAGGAAAAAAATCCCATTTTAGGTCACATTTGTCGAACACTAGGCCTGCAGGATAAATCCGGATATTTTAGTGGCCCCTCATCGCATTTGGAATTATGATAATTGACTTTGCATTGATGGAAATATATTCAAATATATATTTTCTAAAACAACCATGTGATTTAATGTATTATGAGATTATAACCAAGCCCTTATTTAGATGTAGGTAAATAAAACAAATACATTATTGGCCGAACACAGTCCGTCTGCCTTCTTCATCTTAAACCAACAAAACCACTTTTATACATTTGGACTTTTTTCTAATTCAGACCAAAATGAGTTTGACACCCAAGATGTGGGTGAATGGAAGCTATTTGTTTGCATCTATTATCATTTTTAGCAACTATTAAAGTGATTATAAGATAAGATGTAAGATAACATGTGCTTTATTTATCTAACAAAGGAGAAATTTGCATGTCCCATTTGGCATGGATAGAGACACTCAGATTGTGTCTGGAGTTTGTCAGAAAGAGAGACAGAGAGGTGCTTGATTTGAAAAAAACGACGCAAGCTCCCTCCCCCTTCCTTTCTGATTGTACGGATTGTACGGTGATTCTCACCTACATTTCCGTAACACTTTTAAATGTTAATCAGAGAACACATTATACATGTACATTATTAATACACATGCACGGAGGTTTTCAGAATTAATTGTTAACGTTTTAAGGAAAAAAACAATGTTTTTATCCACAAAAAAAGCGATCGCGGCAAACCCAGAACAAGCTATTATCATGAACTGCACATTATAGGACACATCTGCAGAGGATCTGATTATGGATAAAGGTTCAGTATATAAATGATTATTGATATAGGTTCAGTATATAAATGAGTACCTCAGCGCAGATGTTCAGAATTCTTTGTTCAGTTTTCATGAAGTTCCAGAGCCTAATGGCGGCTTGATTCGCAGTTTCCATGAAAACAAACAACTGATCATGCGTCAAATAGTCAAATAGATGAATAAACATTTCAAAACATGTACCCAACATAGAAATCTCCATACAACATGATACAAATGGTCGCAGCGGTTTGACAGCCAGCGCTCAGCTTAACAGCCTCCCTGACGTGACAGCGGTGAATGAATTATGAGACAAATAAACAAAGATGATCGCTTTGAAAAACGGAAATCAAAGGCAACCGCTCAGATGCGAAGTGAGGCAAAACGGTTGTGTTTGAAAACTGCAAGAGCTTAAAGGACCAGAGAGAAAGGTGTGCATATAATGTATAGTGTCATCTACAAGACTGAATGATCGAATTCATCCAGAGCCCTATTGAAGACTGGAGCAGGGAGAAGAGCCAGTGGAGATAAGGTATTCAAAAAGAAGGACAGTGGGAAATGAGAAAGAAATTGGAGGAAGGGGACCGAGAGAAAGATGGAGAGAAAATTAGTTCTGACACAAGCGAGAGATGGGAGCGAAGGAGCAGCATTATCAGATGTGCACACAATACGATGTGTGTTTGTGTGTGTATGTGTGTGCGGGTGTGTGTTTGTGTGTGTATGTGTGTGCCTGACAGCATACACGATGGTGCAAACAGCTCACTGCTTATTCCTTCAAGTCAACCGAAGATAAAACCTGAAGACTTATTCAAAATCCATGAATGACAATAATACAAGGACAACATGTTCCCCTCAAAGTTTTCGATGTATTTTCTCTTTTTCCACCTTTGTCTCCCTTGACATACATCTGACAGTTGGTCTCTTGGATTAAAATGAAAAAATAATAATACCACAAAGAGGATGATGACAGAGAAAAGACTAGTGCTGGATTCCAAAATGTAAAGCTTTTGTTTTGCTCTGTCTGTATACTATTTACTAAGACTATTGTTTACAGTAAGGATCTGGGGACTTATTTATAAATTGCACAAATGTGGACGGCATGGTGGTGCAGTGGTTAGCACTGCACGTATACTGCACGTACACTTATGAGAAATAAATGTCGTCAGGCTGCATAATTGAGGGCCCTACTATTCTTCAATTACAATTTTAGTGATACACGTATTTTAAAAAACTTTGATAGCTGTTATCAATATTCAGTATTTGTCTTTTTATTCCGTGCCTCTTAACTTGTCCTAAGGAAATGTTTTAGCTCATCGAACTATCAAATTGACCAGACTTTACAAAATAATTGTTCTATAATCGTCTACTGTTCTGTTTGAGTCCAACATAGATTCTTCCCCCCAGTCCTACAGCATCAATATACAACACTGCCTAAGGTCTAAACAGGAGAGAAGGCAGCAGTGAACACCAATCTATAATGGATTCCCATTCATTGGCTTTCAGCAGAGATCTTTTTACCAGCGGCATCAAAAAAGGAAAGGAATTATGTCGATGACTACAAATGCACTCAATGACAAAGCTTTACAAAAGATACCCCTCTCTTCAGAGGAGCTGTGGTGAATATGCAATGATGGCATAATACTGTAGCACAGGGTAATATGGATTAAAGCAGCCACTTATTCCAATTTTAAGAGATCTGATAAAAACCAAAACTTCATCTGCACTTGCATATGAAGCTTGTGCAGCACCGTACATTGCAAGGGACAACATATACTGTATATGTTAAGTTAATTGCGTTTTCCCTGATTTGTTTTAACTCTAACACTTGTAGGACAATGATACAGATGAACTCCAAAATGCAATCATTTGTTGCAATGACCAAACGACCAAAGAGCCAAATTCAGGGACAGAGGGTTAGCTTACCCTTGGTCAGTTCACATACACACATCACCTCTTCTTGTTCTGAAATTGAAGCTAACAGTGAATCAAAGTCTGATTGCATGAGCAAATGTTTGCATCCTCAGAAGTTATTTATAACAACATTTATAAATCATTTTGTGACCAGTTATAGCAGTGTTCTAAGGCATCTATCAGCTATTGGTTAAGTGTTATTTTAGAACACTTGTATTCTAATGCAGCCTATGTGGACAACATTTACAACATTAGGTTCACCATGTGCGTTCTTTAGACAAACAAATAGTCCAGCAAGCACTATATTTAGGAAGTTAAAACACAAGTTTCTATGCCCAAAATGGTGAGTGTGCTCTTTGCCCAAGAGCAATTCCCTAACAGGCTTCATAACTCGCTGATTAGCACTGCCCGTCCCTGCAGTATACAGTCAATGTTATCTCCGAAGCAGTTATCAATGCAACCATACCAAGTCATTGTGTTTTTACTGCCAATGGCTAAACTTTTCATATCTTTACTTGAAACTGTCCTCAGTCCAATACTATCACAGCAGCATATTGCAGTCAGGTATGTTCCCTTTTTCTCTTCTGGTCGGGACAGAGTTTAACAGTACCCTTCTGAATAAAGCGGACAATTGCAGAAGTTAGTGAGCATGAAATGTTGCAAAGCAGAGGGCCAATAAGTGCTGTTCTCTTTGAGGTTGTTAAAGTGCAGACGGATGAGACTGTTGGTTCAGAAAATGTTTGTTTGACTCTTCAAACTCAAGTAAGTTTCATTTTGTTTTCTTAGTACAAAGCCATGTGGAATCTAAAAGCAGTGTCTTCATAGAAACTTAAAGGAAGGAGGAACTATCTCACTCTAAGCGCCAGCACAGCCCCAGTTTTGGAAGGAGATTTAGATTCCATAATATCTTGTTGGTAATCAGATCATTAATTGCATGATTTTAGTTCATGATTTGGAGTCTACAAAATAATTATTGCTAATGTTCAGAAAGAAGCTGTATTCAATTGGTTGAATTTGTTATGAGTAATAATTGAACCTAAGCTATGTAAAAAAAATATAATAAATACATAGGGAGAAACGTCCAAACTCTAGTGTTTTGTAGGCTCACTGCTGTTCACCAAGTCAATACAAATATTGAATTGGTCCAGCAATTATTCTTGTTTATCAATAAACCACTATACGGAAGTTCAAAACAAATAACACAATACAAATATGGATGAGTGTAAATAAACCATGGACTGGTTTAACCTTTTGAAAAGATCAATATTACCACAGGAGGTCAATTGAGTAACTTGAGTAATTTAAAGCAAAAACCTTAGCAAAAGAGGCACAAGACAAATTTCCATAATCCAATTAAACTGGTTTGAATTGGGTTAATGGGTTTATTAGGCAGGGTCTTCCTTGGTAAATGTGGCTCTCATACTCAGTAGAGATTTGTCCACGCAATAACAAACATCAACAAGATTTACAGTTGTACTTCACATAATTACATAGCGACAGACTAGAATTGAAACATATGGGTTATTACCAGAGATAATCACATCTCCTTCTGCAGATAATCTCAGAATCAGGTAAGAGCACTAACCAGTTCTAATAGTTTACTTTCTTCCATAACAACATTTGCCCAAAATTATAACTCCAAGGCATGTGTGAATTCAAACAGGAAAGTAGTAATTACCTTGTGCGCAGGTTTCCAGGACTGGGAGGTCCATCGTAAACTGACAGGATGTCAAAGTCCTCCTCCAGGGCAAAGCCTTGAAACACCAGCTGTATCCTGTTATGTTCTGCTGCCACGATCACCCATGTGCAGTTGGCGTAGTTTGGATAGCCATACGGATAACCAGGGCTCTCTATGGACCCGTTGGGGCTCTGTAGTGTGTAGCTGCAGTTCTGAGCTGCGGAGAGAACACAACATACACTTGGTCACAATGTGTTTGAGTTTATCACAGTGAAATAGCAGTCATTTGAAAATAAAAACACATACTGTAGCAGATGTGATATAGTGTACGTTGAAGGCCTGGAGTAGTGGAGTAGTTGCATTGATTAATTTGAATATAATGTAACGTAATGAGGAACGGTTTTTGAAAAAGACATTCATGACACAGTCCAACAACATGCACACATATGAAAGTGTGTTCCAAAATCTACGGCCAGTTCCAAAATCATCTGCTATTCAAATGTGCTCCATCTAACAATGGAAACTGTGATCAAGGCTCCTTTTGAATTCAGTTAGATCAAACTAGTCACAAAACAATTGTAATAAAATACTCGACTGATTAGTTTTGACAGTATATAAGTCATAATTGTGGTTTTAGCATCAATTCAGCCACAACTGATTTGCCCTACACGGATTTTTGCTTTCCCTTTGTTGTTGTTCTCAGCAAATCAATAAAGGAGATGACACTTTGCTTTACATTGCAAATAATGAATGTTCTTCTTGGCACTTGGGCACGGTAATAATCAGTACATTTCCATATGTACTTGTGCTACTATGTGAAAAGGGAGCAGCCTGCCAAATGTCTGTGTTCTAAATCTCTTGACAGAAAAAGTTCTTTGGCTGATTTAAACACAGCCAAGTCTTTTAATCAATAGGCGTTAATCACAAATGTAGACTCGTGTGTGATTAAACATGTGTTTGTTGCTTGTCTCTTGCTTTTGAGTGCAAGCTAGCCCCCGCTTTCATCATAATACAACTATTTACATTTCAAACCTTACCGATGTTTGAACTATGACACAGTCTGGTTTGATAGACGTTCTCATTAATAATGTGTAATTATCATGATCTTTGAATAGTGCTAGCCCTATTATGAATGTGTTGAATGTTGTTGTGACATTATAAGTTTTCAATTATAGATAAACAAGGTGGAAATGCATTCAAGATAAAACAAGGCGGGTCGGAGCACAGCGACCATCGTGCTGGTAATAAACGTGACATTTTCCTCTTTTTTGTCATCAACTTCATTCACAATGTTCGGTAATTATGAGTGCATAATTGGGGGGCATTTACATAATACACAACAACACAACAACGACACAATAAAGCAATATGTTTGAAGCCAACAAGAAATATTGATTGCAATATTATATATTAAAATAGCCAAAAAGGTTTCTTTGCTTGAAGAGATTTAACAAAAAATTAAAAAGATTCAATTGAATAACAAAAACATCTTCTGCAAAAAATAATTTTAGAGCTACTTTCCGGAGTTACAAACAAGTAACTCCTATACAAGTGCAGAAGACAGTACACTCCAGAGGACTGCTATTCAGCAGCAACAGTCAGATGTGTAAGTTATCATGGTCTCTGTGACTTTATTCAAGAAAATGAACAATGTCCAGAATCACTGAAAATCTGCCAACCCTCCTCCCTTGAAATGCTAGTGTTGTGGAGCTGATCTAGTGAAGCATATTTCCCATGTCAATGCAAAGCTCCTATTTTGGGATGACGAGCACGGCTCGACGCTCCGCTCTTCTACCCTGCGCTCTTCTATCCTGCGCTCTTCGGCCCTGCGCTCTTTGGCCCTGCGCTCTCGTTGTGCATTCAGGTGCGGCGTGCACCCATAGCCGCACAGCAAGCGCAAGTCTTTTTGCTTCCAATGATGCGTGTAGGAGACATAATTTATACATACTTATTTCATCATATATTATGTACCTTAGGTATTATTCAAAAAAATTAAATTGTTGTGCTATAGTTTTTATAGTAAAAATATAGGAAAATATGACTTATTTAAAATAAAGAACTGCAGAATTTATGGGGGTGATTAAAAATGTTCTAGTGGCATATAAGAAAGTGGAACAGACATACGGAGAACATTCAAATTCCTCCAAGTGCCAATCGGAATTTAAATACACAACTTTCTTGACTGATAGCTCTAACCACTCAGCCAACGACTATGGTTTTCCAATTATTGAGTGTGTACTGTGTGTTATAATTATATTGTGTTTGCTATGTTTGTTCTGTGTGCAAGTTTGAAATAGAATCTGACTAACAAATGTGGTGAATTGATCCGAACAAAGAAGCAGCGCCCAAAGCCATGGACTCAAACAGAATCTAAAGCCCATACTTTGTGGCTCCAAGAAAGTGGTGATGACAGCATTGAGAGATGCCTTTGGGGAGAAGTGCATGGAGTGTCTCAACCAGGCATTTGATTTATGTTTCTCTTTTTGAATGGGCATAACATTGCAATCATTCAAGTTTGCCTTTCCCTGCATAGAATTGAACCTTTATAAGGTGTTGCCCTGGCATGAGATTCGGGACTTTCTCAGCTAAGAATGTTTAGTACATGTCTGGAAATCATGATCTATTGTTTTTTTAAGTGTTCAGAAAAAAAAAGGGAGATTTAGTCGTACATTTTTTTTTTTTTTTTTTAACCAAAATAAGTCTATATAACTTCTTTTTTGTTTCATCAATACTACATGTAGAAAGCGAACCACATGCTAACTGCTGGGTCTAGCTTCTTGAAAAGGGGCTTCAACTGCCCACGAAAGTTAGTTGTCAATTTGAATTTCATGGATTTTATGGTGATATTATGGTCAAAGTACCTGCTCTGGTAGTTAGTGTTAGGGATTTCAGGAAAAATATTATAATGGCAAACAATTAAACTACATATGGTACAGAAAACATAGTATAAGAGAGGTCTGACACAGACTCTGGCATTCGCGTGCATGTATGGTCAGATATGTCCACTTCTATGAGAGTTCTGAGATTCAAGGAGACTGACAAAGAGTTCACACCAGTTCGACATATCACAACATTCAGTCTTAGTTTGCAGCTGAGACTGAATGTTAGACATTGATTTGGAAAAAAGTCAATTACAGCGAACCGATGCAGTCTTCCACCGCCGCTATTTACTGTACGGTGTCTATTCACACCGCTGTTGGAAAATACAAATTCATAATGCTTCTCAACATGGCACACGCTCACCAAAACAAAAGCAAATCACCCTTTTGTTGCATGTAATTTTTTGGAAACAGCGCAACGCGTAGCTTGGCGCGGGGGCGTTTTTTTTTTTTTGAGAGCTGAAGATCTGTACGCTGCCTGGATGGCATAAGCAGGCGGATAATAGCACTTCCAGTCACAACGGATCCATCACAGCCTGTTGACTCCTGGGGGCCCGTTTCATCGCTAAACATGTGGAGGGCCCCTTTGCCGTCACTTTACTTCTTCTCATACACGCTTGACCTCTCTAACAAGAAGCTAACATGTGTCGCCCCATTGAGGCTAGTGCACAGTTTAAAGGCAGGTTCGACTGGCTGGTTAAGAGCTTATAGCTGTTTAAGAGGAGAGTTTCGATGTCTATGTGTGTGCCTGTGTGTGTGTGTGTGTGTGGAGGGGACAGTGAGAAAAGAGTAATGAAAAGTGACCTATATATGTGCTGCATATTGCTTAAAATAACCGCACCATAATGTTCTTTGTTCGTCTATTCTCTGTAGTCCTGCCTAAAAGGAAGTATACAGATCAAAACAGCAGCAGAAGTGTTTTAAATAGAGCTATGGAGGTAGTGTGATCAGACTTCAACCGCCATGGCTAACAATGAGGAAACTTAATGTATAGTGTGCGTCTTCTGTTTATTCAAGTATATGCATTGAATGAATGAACACCACGTTTAAATTCTTCTGACAATCTTTTTTCAAGATCAGAAGTGGACTTAAATTGCATTGCATTTCTGATAGATTCGTTATTGAGTCCACGTTCAGTTGAGTGATTAATAATTCTCTAGCAGCATTACTGGTGCTATACTACTTCAGATAAGGACGTCTGCCAAGTTAAATCATTGTAAGTATTGTTGTGAATTTGGAGTACACGCTTCCTCCAATTCCACTCGTATCTCGTCTGTTGCTTTATGAAGATGATTCTCGGTACAAAAAGCAGCTGCACAAACAGAACTGATTTCGGCATTGCACAGGTTCAATGCACGACCCCTCTTGTTAGCTTTGTCTTCTGACCATGTCTATCTCGGGCAAAACCATTTTAGATAACAAGACATTCGAATCCTCGCTTTTCCAATTGTCATAAATCAAAACCCTAGTCTCCTGTCCTCTTGAAGCTTGCCAAATTTTATCTTCACAAAAGCAAGTAAATAATGCAACTAGGCCAAGAGTCTGGTCATCTGCAGTGAAGCGGTATCTCTTTGATGACAGCGGACCCTGACCCAAAGAGTATCACAAAAAAATAATACACTTTTATTGCAACTGTCATTTCATAGAATGTTCTCATTGTTCAAAATAAGGCCTATTTATTTACTTCAGATAACGGTCCTGGATGACCAATGACCTGCAACATTAGCGAGATGCTGACATTCTCATTAAAGAATTGTTCATATGAGCGTACTCCCCTGCAGATCTGTTATCTCACCGACATCCACCTCACCCTCTCTCATTTTCCTTTAAACAGTGCGGTCAATAATCCCATCATCTCCTTCATTATAGGGCTGCAGCAGACAAATGCCAATCAATGGTCCAGGCAGAGGGGTGATCGGAGAGGCTGATGGGGGTCACAGTGGACCATGGACCTCTGTACATTATCAATGAGAGCAAGAGAACGCTTTTGAATTACAATGTCAGAAATGTGCCGGCCTGAATACTGTTTTTTTTTGTACAAGGATAAAAAATATGCACTGAATAGTTTTAATTCTAATAAAGGAAATTGCCATTCTTGTATTACAACCAAAAAAGTATTTTTGCTTCCAATGATGCGTGTAGGAGACATAATTTATCCATACTTATTTCATCATATATTATATACCTTAGGTATTATTCTAAAACATGAAAAAAATACCAATTAAATTGTCTTACTATAATTTTTATAGTAAAAATATAGGAAAATATAACAACTGAACTATGATAAAGAACTGCAGAATTTATGGGTGTTATTAAACAATTTTCTTGTGGCATATAAGAAACTGGAACAGACATACGGAGAACATTCAAATTCCTTCATGTGCCGATCGGAATTCAAATGGACAACTTTCTTGACTGATAGCTCTAACCACTCAGCCAACGACTATGGTTTTCCAATTATTGAGTGTGTACTGTGTGTTATAATTATATTGAGTTTGCTATGTTTGTTCTGTGTGCAAGTTTGAAATAGAATCTGACTAACAAATGTGGTGAATTGATCCGAACAAAGGAGCAGCAAAAAGAACAATAAACATACATTATCCATTATGTTTTGTTACCATACAGTCATACCATAAAGAACATTTCAAAAGTGTCTGATGTAAGTGTGTGAATCAGACCCAAGGCGTTATTTTCAAACTGAAGAGGTGCTTTGAAAAAGTTCAGGTGAATACTTCTAAAGCTTACTCTGCAATGCATCACACCTGGACAAATATTGATGAAATACTAATGTGAATGGGACAGTGGCTGAATGATATCACCATGGAGGAGACATGTAAAAATTAGTGCGGGAAGCAATCGAAATGGAGACATTACAGGAGCATGGGAGAAAAGCAGGTACTCAACTTTAAAAGTAAGAACTCTGCTGTCTGTCAGGATAGATCAAGATTCAAGATTCAGTTTATTTGCCATTTGCAGTAAATCCACATTGGAATAATTGTGCAAGACTACCCCCTCTCATAATAATATATGCAATGTTTGGATCCACAGACTTTCTTCAGGTATATACAGTACAGGAAGCAACTGTTTTTCAGGCTGCATAACCAAGAGTTTCCTGTGAGGGACACATTCTATGACTAAGAACTGACTTCACTCTTGTTTAAGTAGCTAAGTAATAGTAGCTAGCACTGTTTACTCTTAACTCTGTTTTGTTGTCATTGCCTTTGTACACAGTTGCTGTAAATATGTCCAATCCATATATGGGCATTCCGCAAGTGCACCTTTGATGGGTGAGATTTAAAAATGTTGATTTGACAAAAACTTTATGCCTTATGGAATTTAACAGTGCATGAAATCAACAAACTAATAAAAGCATAATTTTGCAGCCACAAAATAATACTGGTTCATAACAAGCAGATGGAGGATTCCGTACAATAGCGAAAGACATTAAGTTGCCATATTTTTTGGAAAGTTCTTATTTTCATTTTTACTAATAAGGACATAACTTGTTTCACAGCTCTTCATGGCATCTGGCAGAAATATATCAGAGCACAGAGAACACAATGTTCTCAAAACTGTTGTTTTAGAGGTAGCCTAGAAGTGAGTTTGAATAACTTTTAAATAAAACAGCAACATTTACACATTTTGTATAGCAGTTTCAAACATATTAGAGTGTATAACTGGCTTTGGCAACATTGTTATCATAGAACAAGACAGTTACGCATTGTGCTATGTACGCAAGAAAGTTCCCTGTCATTTCAGTGCCGCGCAAATTCACTCAATTTTTTTACTGACAGCAAAAAGACAAATCTAGTTTTGGTAGTTTTTGGCCCGGAAAGCTTTTGATTAAGTGGATTTTGGAACTAAAATATTTAATCCGGCCCAGAGTGCATTATGAAATTAACTACAGTGCACTGATGACCCTCTCTCCTGCTCTCCAGTGTAAATCTAGGAAGGAAGAGCCCATCTTGCAGTTGACCTGGATGACTCTCCATAAAGAGCACATAAACAGACTGCTGGCTGCGCTGTTTAGCCCTGGCCACAGCAGCGGCTAAGTGGAAGGTCATGTTTTCTTAAGCTGCATAGGTTTAGGTAAATTAAGTTACTTATGAATATGGAGGAGCTGAGAATTGCCTGGTTCAGCAAGTCAATGTTCGGAGAGGAGTGATGCACCAATACTTTTTACACAGATGAAGATAATGTTAACAAAATAGTAACATGCATGGCAGCATAATTTCAATCAACAATTAAGTATTTTTACTTTTTTAGCATTGTATGTCACTAGTGGATGGTCCATCTTGACTGATTGAACCTTGTAGGCCTATTTGTTAACCCAATATCAATGATTATATTTTTATTAGAATGTCATCACATAATGTTTAAAATGCCACTGAGCCTTTCATCAAAACAGTGATCAAACATATCAAATCACCCCGTTTTGTAATTAAATAAAACATTGCATTTTAAATATACAATGAATAGACATACAAATATTTCTCACAGTTCATTACACACAAAAAACAAGCAAGATTGCGTTTTCATTCAACTTAAATTGCAGCTTAGAATCCCCTTTGACTGGGATACCTCATTGATGATTGTTAGTGGAGGGTTTTCTTGCATTGTTCCACAGTATTCCTCCTCTGCTCAGCCCACTGTCTCTGGCACTGTGTGTTTGGCTCTCCAGGTTGCCCCAGCTGCCAAATGGGTGTCCAGGGAGCGGAGTGACCTTTCCAGGGGCAGCCCTCCCACTTCCAGTGCACTTGTGCCTATGAACTATTGTTTCCTTTGCAGGGCTAGTTGTTTGGGAGCAGCCACATAAAGCGGCAGTGAGTTCTGACACTTTGACAAATGGATGGTCATTGGGTTTGGGCTCTGGTAGAATAGCAGAGGAAAGCACACAAGACCTGGTGGAAACCGGTCAGATAAATGGATAAAAGTGTTCAGATGACAAGTGGAACTGACAAGGAAAAGAAAAAAGTGATGACAGATATTTCCATAGTTGCTTGAATTTGACATTTATCTTAATTGTGTTATATTGTCACTTTTTTAAACCAAGATTCATCAATCAAACCGTTCATTAGTTTACTGGGGACATAGTAAACTGAGGGGGTTCACTCTCTCTTTTTCAATCAAATCATGCAAACTTGAGAATAAAAGCACCACAAAACAAGTGCACAGCCTTTTTGCGTTGCTTCTGTAATAAACAGAGTCAACTTTGACCAATAAGCAAGTAATAAATAAGTACGTGCAGAACGCATAGAACTGAAATTATGGACGCAATCTGTTGCTTTTGCAGGTCAGTTGTAAATGAGACATACTTGTTCTCACCTTGTTTTCTTGGTTCTTTTCAAGCACGTTCGTAAACCTACAGTGACCCTCCATATAGCACTTACTGCCCACAAAGATGCAAGACAGGGCCAAACATGAGATGGTATACACTGAAGGAAAATGTGCTCAGACAATTCATCAACCTAGTTTAATCCTAGTGTGTGTACATACCTACTATAGATATGTACACACACACACACACACACACACACACACACACACATGTCCTAGAAGACCCCAGTGAAGTCCATGATCCAGCCACCTTCTCTGCCTTCTCCAGAGCTTCGGAAACAGTTCCAAGATGCATGGGCTGAAATCAGCGATTAACCAGGCCCAGAGAGCTGAGGCTCAAAACTCTGCAACAACAGTCTGATGACTCAGAGCTGATGGAGGTGAAGAAGAAGCTCCAAACCAGGGAGGAGCAGGTTCACAGAAAAAAAAAAGAAAAAAAAAAACTATATTTTTTTTGTCAGTTTAGATTGACAGGATAATTCATTAAAATGTCTGGGAACCGGCCTGGCATTAAAACGTTCATGGACTAGTGATTAATACCTTCAAGGAGAGATTGCCATTAAAAGTGGTCCACTGAACCCTGAACGCCTCGCTGCGGAGGTTCAAGACACATTTTCTGGTAGGAGGCCAGGGGTTATAATAATAATAATAATAATGCATCGGTTTTATATAGCGCTTATTCAGGTACTCAAAGACGCTTCACATGTCATTATCCATACACAGTGATGATTAACTACTACTGTACCCTCCGACCACCACCAACCCTTCACACACACATACCAGACTCACTCTAGGCAACGTGGGTGAAGTGTCTTGCCTAAGGACAAAACTACAGTTTGGCACTTTACAGCCTCCACACTGTAACACCTGGTGTTCCCAGAGATGTTCCATTACAATACTAACCAAGCCATGTCCTGCTTAGATTCAGGGGTCTGACAAGATCTGGCTTTCACGTGCAGGTGTTTCCACTATATACTAGACCATAATCTGTCTAGTATATATTAATAACTAAGCCATTCCACCTTCCACCGATGGTTGTATAGGAGACACGTTTAGCCCTGTTCATAGCAGATCAAACTCACTCTGGCCCTGCTCTTAAGTAGGTGCTAGCGTCGCCTACTTTAACAGCTCGACACACTTTGAGAGTGTTTAAACGTGTAAAGTCGAGCCTATGTGAAAACGCCTTATGTCTCACAGCTGGCCAGAGAATGCCACCCCCCGTGACCATGTCAGTAAGCTGTCATAGCATTTATTGTCAATACAGAGTGGATTTCCAGTTTTTAGAATACTAAAATCTAACTAAATGAAAGCTTCAAACTGATGTTGGCATATTCAATGTGTAATGGATTTATTAAAGAAGCTGTATTAAAAACCTGGAGCCAGTGGAGTCCAGTTAAAACAGCCTGTATTGACTTGGATTACATTATGTTGTATCGTGCTTGAAAAAAATTGAATATTTGGACACAGCTTGTATTTGCTTTTC